AGACTGTGGCATTATCAAAAACTAACCCTTTCTCACTTTCCCACAATGAAAGAAATAGGTTCACAGAAATACCCAACATCTAGTAACTTTTTAAATTATCCACAAACTTCAGCTTCATTTATAAAATTCAAACAGCATTAATAACATTTTATATAAAACTGATCCTCTGAATTCATGAAACAAACTGATGAAAAGCAGATTTTAACCTCTTTGTAGAGAAAAAACTTAAAACTGCAGATTAACTGTAACACATCACACAGTGGTTTTACCTTCACACTGGTGCCGGGGAAGTATCTTCCATCTGGTTTTGATAACTGTTTCCAGTATCTGAAGAGCGTAGTACTGAAAAACACAGAAAAAGGTAACATTAGGAGTGAGTGTGTACTTCTACCACAACAACCAAGCTGTTGTTCCTCATTTCTATGTTGAAACAAATCATGTCCAGTTTATGGAGCAGGTCTGTTTGAGTTTAAACAAGCAGCAAAGCTTCAGACTCAGGAAGAGCTCCTGAAGTCTAACCCTAACCTTACTCCATCAATACGTTCAGGAAACATTACAACAATCACTGACATGGAGCGTACACTAACTCAACAAATCTTATACTAGTTAATTAATTAATTTATAACCTGCCTCTGGAATTTATGTATGGAGACCTACAGAGCAGCAGCAGTTAGCAGTAGTACAGTAGTGCACCTGTAACAGAACATCATACTGTGACTGTATAACTGTGTAATAACAACAGGCCTGAGGTTATAAACACTGACTGACCACACAGACTGCTGGACTGTAGCCAGGTCTGATCAGATCCACACCTTAGTGCTCTCTGAGCCCCTCACAGCACAACCAACTGTTAGTAGGAGGGACCCCCAGGACAGACAGTACTGGTCRTTACAATCCCACCCAGCCAATCAGCTGCCTCTGCACACCATCAGGMCCCCTGGTGGTCAAGATGAAACATCTGCAGGGCTGATGGAGACCTGAGCACACTGCATGGTGAACATCTGTCCACAGCTGTGAGTCTGTTGTCTCTTCATGTCACAGCCCACTGTGGGAACCCCCCCTCCCTCCCCTGTAAGAACCTTTAACCCCCTCCCTCCACTGTAAGAACCTTTAAGCCCCTCCCTCCACTGTAAGAACCTTTAAGCCCCTCCTCCCTCCACTGTAAGAACCTTTAAACCCCTCCTCCCTCCACTGTAAGAACCTTTAAGCCCCTCCTCCCTCCACTGTAAGAACCTTT